GATTTCCGATCTTTCAGTGGATTTGGACAGCCAGTTGAAGCAAAAAGTAAAGTCATTTATTGCGTTTTCGGTTGCAATTGATGAAAGCACGGACATTACAGATGTTGCACAACTGGCCATTTTCATCCACGGAGTTGATGACACATTGACCGTCACCGAGGAGTTCGTGGAGTTGGTGCCGATGACAGATACAACGACAGCAGCTGATATATTTACCGCACTCGTCGGCGCGCTGGACAGTGTCGGAGTGGACTGGTCCCGCGCTGTCAGCCTGGCTACAGATGGTGCGCCCTCAATGATCGGGAAAAAAACAGGCGTTGTGACAAAGTTCAGAGAGAAAGTGCAATCTGCAAATGGAGGACGTGATTTTTTGACTTTTCACTGTATTTTGCACCAGGAGGCTTTGTGTTGCAAGTCATTAAAGATGGATAACGTCATGAAGGTGGTCATCCAAACTGATAATTTCATCCGATCCAGAAGCCTGAATCACCGTCAGTTTGACAGCCTTCTCAGAGAGAAAGACCACATCTATGGCCTGCCATACCACACTGAGGTAAGATGGTTAAGCCGAGGTGCTGTGCTGAGGCGTTTCTTTGATTTACGAGAAGAAATTGAACAGTTCATGGAAGAAAAGGGCAAACCAGTGTTAGAATTTCATTCCGCAGAATGGATGCAGGACCTTGCATTTATGGTGGATGTTACAGAGCACCTGAATAACTTGAACAAACAGCTGCAAGGGCGCAACAAAGTTGTCACGCAGTATTATGACAGCATACGTTCTTTCAAGTTGAAGCTGTCATTGTGGGAGACGCAACTTGCCGGTGGTGATGCAGCTCACTTCCCCTGTCTGAAAAATGTGTGCGCGACCCAACATGTGGCAGACATGAAGCGGTTCAAAGATAAAATAACGGGACTGTTACGGGAGTTTGAGCAACGCTTTCAGATTTATGTTTATATGTTTTTATGTTGATGTGCTATTGTTTTTAATTGATTTTATTTTATTTGTATATTTAACCTATTCTTGACTCTGTGGTTCTTGCACTTGTTTGGGGAACAGGATTTCATTATTTTTATCTACATTTCTGCCTGAGAAATGACACCCTGAAATAGTTCTGTGATCTGTGATATACTTCTGTGAATCACTGAGGCATTGTGTGTTTGTGTGTTCTTTGTCCTCAGAACTTTCAAATAACTTGAGGTGTTTTATGATTAATAGTGATGTTGTGCTTTTGGACACTGTCCTCAGGCTCCAGCTTTATGTTTATATGTTTTTATGTTGATGTGCTATTGTTTTTAATTGATTTTATTTTATTTGTATATTTAACCTATTATTGACTCTGTGGTTCTTGCACTTGTTTGGGGAACAGGATTTCATTATTTTTATCTACATTTCTGCCTGAGAAATGACACCCTGATATAGTTCTGTGATCTGTGAAACAGTTCTGTTAATCACTGAGGCATTGTGTGTTTGTGTGTTCTTTGTCCTCAGAACTTTCAAATAACTTGAGGTGTTTTATGATTAATAGTGATGTTGTGCTTTTGGACACTGTCCTCAGGCTCCAGCTTTATGTTTATATGTTTTTATATTGATGTGCTATTGTTTTTAATTGATTTTATTTTATTTGAATATTTAACCTATTCTTGACTCTGTGGTTCTTGCACTTGTTTGGGGAACAGGATTTCATTATTTTTATCTACATTTCTGCCTGAGAAATGACACCCTGATATAGTTCTGTGATCTGTGAAACAGTTATGTTAATCACTGAGGCATTGTGTGTTTGTGTGTTCTTTTTCTTTAGAATTTTCAAATAAACTTGACGTGCTTTATGATTAATAGTGATGTTGTGCTTGTACTATTTTGGACACACTGTCCTCAGGCTCCAGCTTTATGTTGTATGTTGATCGTATTAAAACAAAGAAAACAATCTGAAGTTGTTGTTTTTAAGTTATATATACCATGATTTTTCCGGTCCGGCCCACTTGGGAATAGATTTTCCTCCATGTGGCCCCTGAGCTAAAATGAGTTTGACACCCCTGAACAAGAGCTTTCTGCCCCCTGTGCTCCATCCCCTAGCTGATCCATAGCCCCCTGTTCAAGAGACGTGTGCTTGGAGAAATCCTACCGATGCTACACAACTTTAAGAGGTGTCACAGTTTAGTGTGAACCCCTTTTAACTCCACCCAACACAGGATTTAATGTTTTCCAGCACACAACCCCAACACAGAAGACCAGGACAGGTAAGTATGCTCAAGGTAAGTTTTATTTTCATTTCATGGGTTAACATGGATTGGAACCTGTTTCCCCACCACCCATAACTGACTGTACGATCTCCCAGACTGGGTAGACACCATAGAGCCTCCCCTCAGGTAGGTTACCCTCCCCTTACTCCCTCAAGTATCGGGCATGCGAAAGTGACACACTGCAACAAACTGCACACTGTGAATTATTCTGATATGGCACGGCAACAATATGGTGAAAAGCACTACAAATCTCACTCCACTGGACACTGAATTATTCTGATATGGTACTGCAACAATATAGTTATTCTAAGGGAAGGCACTGCAAACAATGTGGTGAAAGTCACTACAATCTCACTCTGGTGCTGCACACAATATGGGACCCACCCGTTGGCCCTGCTCTACTCTGCCAACCCCTCTAAAGGACTCTCTATTGCTATGGGACAAACTAGTGAGTGGGAAAGACAGACAAGACAACATATAGAGAGGGTGGGGATAGGTTCTCAATTTCTAGGGCCCAACGAGAACCATATCCCCACAAAAATAAAATTATAAATGTCTCTGTCTGGCGATATATGTTCAAACTCCTAACTTTGACAACTGTTCAAATCAAATATTTACAAAAACACAATGTATGTACTTATAAGGCAGCCTAAAAGGGTCCAACGATGACCCAAAAATACCATAAAACCAAATAAGCAGCTTTCAAAACCTTAACAAAAAGACATTCATGTATCTATTTCTTATTTATCTTCCATTGAGAAATTGAATAGACCATTCTCAATAAGAACATTATAACGCCTCAACTAACGCTAAACTGTTGAAAAAAGCCTGCCCTACAGCCAGGGTTCTATAATGCCCCAAAATTACTGTACACTCAAACAGGCAAATTTCCAAAGCTTGACAAAAACTCATTCACATATTTGTTTCATAATTTAGCTTCCAATGCTGCTCTCATTTGTATAGTTAATTAACAGCTCTCACAACTGAAACATCCAAGTAATTCATAGGTTATTTATGTGTAATTGCCATTTTACTATGTACTTGCAAACACCTCTGAATTTAAATAATAGTAATTACTAGCACCTAGTTTGTCTACAAGCATAAAATAAAGTGCTACCAACTTGGTAAGTCTACCTTAGTCTGATCTTAAAGTTTAATTGTGAACCCTGCTGTACTGTAATGTACTGTATATCAGCAGTTCCCAACCTTTTCTGTTCTGGGGAAAACCAAATTAACTTCAAAAGGACTACCATTTGCGGAGTCGCAGAATCTTTAACATAAAATATCTTAGCAGTCAAATTTAGAGTAAATTGTATCAATGAATGTATTAGATTAAAGGCCTATTATTACAGATTAACGTTTGTTAAGCCCTTACACTCGTGGGAATTGGCCTATATGGATAGGGCTAAATTGAAATGTTTCTTACAGAAGAAATATGGAAAGCATATGCATAACCATGGTAGCAATTAAAAGGGAACAGCTTGGAGACTATGGGGAAATTATTAGACTAAAGGTGAGGACAGAACAGTTCACCTGACACAAGACTGAATCCAAACATTAAATGTTATGTGCATTTTACATTTGCTATACTTGTCGCCGCATTTGTTGATAACAAAATCTGCAAATACTCTGGATACATTCAGTAACATGATAAGAATATTCGTGGAAAATTTGGGGTAGGTGCAACATAAGACAAATAAATGACAAGGGTTGGAGTGAGAGGTCTAACTGGTGTTTCCAAGTGGCCACACACCTCTCCAAAGTGTACACAGTTCCTAAACAATTTCAATGCACTTTTATGACTCAAAGAAGAGCTCCTAGCTGTGCTGTTGAGCCCTGCATCCCCTCCTTTTCACATTAACCCTGCGAACAAAAATGTGTCGTTAGTATGTACCCGGAACATCATGAAACGGTCGCCTAAAGTTGTCAGGATGTTGTGTCATGGTCCCCAGGAGGTTTTGTCTAGTTCCCGGTTTGTCCCGGGAAGTCCCCAATTAAATTTTTTGGGTCGTTCTTGGGACGTTGTGTCATGGTCTCCTGGAGGTTTTGTCTAGTTCCCGGTTTGTCCCGGGGACGTCCTCAACACAGGTTGGTGGCACCTTAATTGGGGAGAACAGGCTCGTGTTAATGACTGGAGCAGAATAAGTGGAATGGTATCAAATACATCAAACACATGGTTTCCAGGTGTTTGATTCCATTCCATTTGCTCCATTCCAGTCAATATTATGAGCAGTTCTCCCCTCAGCAGCCTCCTGTGGTCCCCAAGGACGTTTTTAGGATGTTCTTGGGACGTTGTGTCATGGTCCCCTGGAGGTTTTTGTCACGTGATGGTCCCAGGTGTCCCAAACCATTATAAGTAAAGTAATGAAATGTCATGTTTAGTATGTTACTGTACAGCCACTCAGTTCCAATTTAGGCGTTTATCAGTATCCAAATCTGTCATTTTCAACCGGTATATGGGTACGAGTGTAAAGGGCAACACAATTTGCATTGTAAAAAGTAATGTACAATTGCTTATAATACCATATATACTCCCATATGGTATTATGTTTGGAAGAAAAATATAAAATAATAATAATAATAAAATAAATTAAATGGAGGACCACCAGTGGTCCACGGACCACATGTTGGTAACCACTGCTCTAATTTACTGCTCAAATATGAGTAAAAAGATTCACACCAAAAACACTGATTATGTCAAGCGATTTTGTGCTGTAGTCCCTTGTCATCTCGTACTTTGACTATGATGTCACAGACTATTATTCACAAAACTCTTCTTGGTTGTGCTCTTCGTGGTTGAGGTACTTGATTAGTCGTGGTGGGAGGGGCAGTTTTTTGATGCACCTCAGTCTGTGGATTCCAACCTGCTGGCGAATCTTCAGCCTGCACAGCTGCATCAGTGGACGTGATGGCGCTGGAAGACAATGGCAACAGATACGGTAATACTGTATGTGACGCTTGTATATAGAAAATACAGAACATGTGCACAAGTCATTCCAAATAAGTGGCCGTTTGGGCAGTGTCATGTGTGCATGCATGCATGACATCCAGTGGTGGAAAAAGTACCCAACTGTCATACTTGAGTAAAAGTATAGATACCTTAATAGAAAGTTACTCAAGTAAAAGTGAAAGTCACTCAGTAAAATAGTACTTGAGTAAAAGTCTAAAAGTATTTGGTTATAAATATACTTAAGTATCAAAAGTACATGTAATTGCTCAAATATACTTAAGTATCAAAAGTAGAAGTAAAAGTATAAATCATTTCAAATTCCTTATATTAAGCAAAGCAGACAGCACCATTTTCTTGTTTTAAAAATGTACGGATAGCCAGGGGCACACTCCAACAATTAGACATTATTTACAAAAGAAGCATTTGTGTTTAGTGAGTCCGCCAGACCATAGGCAGTAGGGATGACCACGTGTTATCCTGCTAAGCATTCAAAATATAACAAGTACTTTGGGTTGTCAGGGAAAATGTATGGAGTAAAAAGTACAATATTTTCTTTAGGAATGTAGTGAAGTAAAAGTAAAAGTTGTCAAGAATATAAATAGTAAAGTACAGTACAGATACCCCAAAAAATACTTAAGTAGTACTTTAAAGCATTTTTACTTAAGTACTTTACACCACTGATGACATCCCCCTCATCACATCAGTAAGCCCAGCAGCCAAGGGTGTCTATTATAATTCAGAAAGTCACCATAATAAATTAGGCTAACAACATACTGGTCCATGTTATCAGGCTGGTGTGTTATTTAGCAATAAGCAATAAGCGAAATAACCTGTAGCCTAACTGATGCAGCATACTGGCTATAAATAAATAGGCTGAAGCCTGGGGTTGCCCATCTGCATTTGTGCATTTAGCCAGATCAGTGCTTCCAACCTTTAGTTAAGTTGGTTCTAGAAATATTCTAAGGGTGATTATTAGGTTGCATAAACATGATTAGTGCTGTCCCCCCACAATTTTGGCCTTCACATTTGTTTTCTGAACATAAATAAGGAGGATAGGCTGCCGCTGCTGGTCTGTCACGCCCTGGCTCTGGGGACTCTAGTATGTTGAGCCAGGGTGTGAGTTTTCATTTGTTTGTCATTCTAGTTTAGAATTTCTATGTTGGCCAGTGTGGTTCTCAATCAGAGGCAACGTGTTTCAGCTGTTGCTTGTTGTCTCTGATTGAGAACCATACTTAAGCAGCCAGTTTTTCCCACAGTGTTTGTGGGATCTTGTTCCAAGTAGGTTGTGTTTGATCCAAGGACGTCACGTTATCGTTTTGTTGTTTTTGTTCGTTTGATCTTTATTTAATAAATATGTTCGCAAATAACGCTGCGCATTGGTCCTCTGTTCCCGACGATCGTGACATGGTCAAAGTCTGAGAGACAGGCAGGGAAAGCTGCACTGAGAGAAAAAGGCTTGCTTGAGCCTACTGCCCGAGGTTCAGATAATTATTTGAAGGTTTACAATACTTCCAAAGTTGTCATTGAGCTCTCAAAATTGATCCCAATATAACCGTTACCAATTACCACTTATTTTGAAAACTAGCACTCACACGTGATATGGGCATCACTTCACAATATAAACTTTCTCCATTTGACTAAATATAACGTTCTATATTGCACGTTTCTCTGTTCTCCTTACAAGCCTTGCTTAACTTTTTTTCCCTTCTGAGGACTGGGCCAAACCAAAAGCATAATTGGTGGCAAGGGGATCCAATCATAAAATGAGGAATTGAGGAATTGAGAAACACTGTGTGGTGTAAAGCCACAGAAAGCCAGTAGCTACCTGACACTTTACGGTGGGAAAATAATTTCCAATCAATCAAATTCATCATGGTATATTATTGAGGGTTCAAATAGACCTGTCACTAATATAGTTGGAGTCATGACCCCCCTGTACCCATAGCAAGTTATGAGCCTGCCAGCAGCTGCTAGATAGACATTAGCTCTGGGATCCTGGTCAAGGCACCACTGTAACAGGCTGGTATGAACCCTGCTTATCAACCATGCATAAAGTACTGCTACACCAAAATGCTACCTTATGTTGTGTAATATGTGTAGGTGTGTCTGTGTGTTTGTACAGTAAGTGTGCATGTGTGCGGGACTCTCACTTGCTTTCTCCTTGATGACTTCCCAGTCCTCCAAGCTATCTAGGTGCTCAGTAAGTCTGGAGCAGAGTTTCACATGGCCAACGTAATCCAGGAGTACATCTATGATTGGTCCTGCCCAGCGAGCAGAGATGATCTCACAGAACTAATGATGGAAACACAAAAAGCAATGATAGGCTATGGTATATTGTATTTTGAAGTCCCTACTTTACAAGAAGTGTCCCAAATACAGTTGAAGTCCGAAGTTTACATACACTTAGGTTGGAGTCATTAAAACTCGTTTTCCAACCACTCCACAAATTTCTTGTTAACAAACTATCGTTTTGGCAAGTCGGTTAGGACATCTACTTTGGGCATGACACAAGTCATTTTCACAGACAGATTATTTCACTTATAATTCACTATATCACAATTCCAGTGGGTCAGAAGTTTACATACACGAAGTTGACTGTGCCTTTAAACAGCTTGGAAAATTCCAGAAAATGATGTCATGGCTTTAGAAGCTTCTGATAGGCTAATTGAAATCATTTGAGTCAATTGGAGGTGTACCTGTGGGTGTATTTCAAGGCCTACCTTCAAACTCAGTGCCTCTTTGATTGACATCATGGGAAAATCAAAAGTAATCAGCCAAGACCTCAGAAAAAAGATGGTAGACCTCCACAAGTCTGGTTCATCCTTGGGAGCAATTTCCAAACGCCTGAAGGTACCACGTTCATCTGTACAAACAATAGTATGCAAGTATAAACACCATGGGACCACGCAACCGTCATACCGCTCAGGAAGGAGACGCGTTCTGTCTCCTAGAGAATAACGTACTTTGGTGCGAAAAGTGCAAATAAATCCCAGAACAACAGCAAAGGACCTTGTGAAGATGCTGGAGGAAACAGGTACAAAAGTATCTATATCCACAGTAAAACGAGTCAAATATCGACATAACCTTAAAGGCCGCTCAGCAAGGAAGAAGCCACTGCTCCAAAACCGCCATAAAAAAGCCAGACTACGGTTTGCAACTGCACATGGGGACAAAGATCATACTTTTTGGAGAAATGTCCTCTGGTCTGATTAAACAAAAATAGAACTGTTTGGCCATAATGACCATCGTTATGTTTGTAGGAAAAAGGGGGACCCTTGCAAGCCGAAGAACACCATCTCAACCGTGAAGCACGGGAGTGGCAGCATCATGCTGTGGGCGTGCTTTGCTGCAGGAGGGAGTGGTGCACTTCACAAAATAGATGGCATCATGAGGAAGGAAAATTATGTGGATATATTGAAGCAACATCTCAAGACATCAGTCAGGAAGTTAAAGCTTGGTCGCAAATGGGTCTTCCAAATGGACAATGACCCCAAGCATACTTCCAAAGTTGTGGCAAAATGGCTTAAGGACAACAAAGTCAAGGTATTGGAGTGGCCATCACAAAGCCCTGACCTCAATCCTATAGACAGTTTGTGGGCAGAACTGAAAAAGCGTGTGCGAGTAAGGAGGCCTACAAACCTGACTCAGTTACACCAGCTTTGTCAGGAGGAATGGGCCAAAATTAACCCAACGTATTGTGGGAAGCTTGTGGAAGGCTACCCGAAACGTTTGACCACAATTTAAAGGCAATGCTACCAAATACTAATTGAGTGTATGTAAACTTCTGACCCACTGGGAATGTGATGAAAGAAATAAAAGCTGAAATAAATCATAAATCTGACATTTCACATTCTTAAAATAAAGTGGTGATCCTAACTGACCTAAGACAGGGAAGTTTTATTAGGATTACATGTCAGGAATTGTGAAAAACTGAGTTTAAATGTATTTGGCTAAGGTGTATGTAAACTTCCGACTTCAACTGTACCTATGAGCTAACATGACAGCATAACAGTTACAGGCGATTACAGTGTAGGTAAACATTGTTACATAGTAAATCCAAAAAAACATTCCTTACCCCAGGACAATTCAACTGGTGACTATCCAGGAAAATAAAGACAAATTAGATCTCTGTTTCTGCATAGATCTGATAATTTATTGACGGTATATATTATGAAACAGTGTTCCTTTTTCTTTATTTCCACCTGGTGAATTGTCCTGGGGTAAGGAATGTTTTGGGGATTTTCAAGTCCCTCAGTCTAGGACCTGATGACCTTTTTGTTCAAGCTGGACTAAAGCGCATTTGAATACACTTTCTTTCCATTGTTACATAGTACTTACAACTGTTCTACTGTTGCCGGCAGCGTACCACCCTGCATCCCACTGCTGGCTTACCTCTGAAGCTAAGCAGGGTTGGTCCTGGATGGGAGACCAGATGCTGCTGGAAGTGGTGTTGGAGGACCAGTAGGGGGCACTCTTGTCTTAAGATCGAATCCCATGGCAGTGAAGGGGACATTTCCCTGCTCAGAGTTCTGTCTTTCGGATGGGATGTTGAACAGTTGTCCTGACTCTCTGTGGTCATTAAAAATCCCACTTCTCGCAAGAGTCGGGGTGTTAATTCCTGGCTAAATTTACATTTTGGCCACCTAATATTCCCCCTCATTCTTAATTGGCATTATATTTAGAGTGTATGTATATATATATTACACAGACGCACATACTAAACATTTCACTGTTATTTTGTTTACCTGAACAGGTTCCCCAGTATTTCTGCGTGTATCGGTATTGTAGCGCAAGTCATCCCTCTCAGAGGTCTCCTGAAGGGGTGGGTGTGGACCACTGCCGTAAGTGCAACTAAAACAGGAGAGGGCGTCGCAGCCATTGTCCATCAGATACTTCAGCATGGACAGGTACTTCATACCGAACATGACGGTGGCCGGGAATGAGGTGGGGTGAGTGGGGACGTAGGCGTTGACATTGGCCCCGTGCTCCACCAGCAAAGTGACCAATTCGCTACTTCCCTGCCTCACGGCTACCAGTAGTGGGTTGACGGTGTCCAGGTTTGGGATGGCGCCGGCTTCTAGAAGCATGGTGGTTGCATCCACATTGCCGTTGGAGACGGCGAAATAGAGAGTCGTCCTACGGTGGTCCTCGTACATCATGGAGCGGTCCTCTGAAAGCATGGCGTTGACGTCGTAGCCGGCCTCAATCAAGACCTCCACAACTTCATCCCTGTTGCACTCGGCAGCCAGGTGGAGGGGACTGATTCCACTGCGATTCACTCTGTACTTGCTGGTGACTTTGATCAGCAATGACACGATACTGAAATAGAAAACCACACAGAGGAGGAAATTAGGTGGTTCCCAGAGTGGAGGATTAGGGTTAGGGTTAAAGCATTCCTTTAAAACGTTCCTAAAGTTTCCATGTTTTTCAGAAATCCCAGTTAGAGTATTCCCAGAAGGAGAATTCCCTCACTGGTTATTACCCTCCTGATCGTGGGAATCCTCCAACTGGAATCCTCCAACTGGAATTCTCCAACCGGAATCCGAGGTTGAAGTCCCCACAAGAAATCCATCACAGGACACAAAGCATACACATTCTATTCAGAAAAATAACATTTCTTCACAGCTTGGTTGTGGTGTGTCTAGAATATGTCACAGTTCTGACTAAATGTGTACACATACCTAGCATTTTGCTTTGTGTACTCTACGAACTGAATGATCACAGTTGCATTTTCATTGGTTGACAGTCCCTTTCTAACTTCAGTTTTTTTTTCCAGCTTAGGTGCGGTGAAAGGTGCAAGTGAGATGTAGTTGGTGGAGTCCTAAACAGAAACTAGGGGGTAGAGTAAAGTGGCAGTCGGTGCCGTTTAAGATGAGGGAGGACGATATAAAAAAAATTATGAGCATGGCCTTATTTCTATTACAGCATATTGGATGACTGTCATTCATATTCCATTCACCCAGCTCAATGTAACATCGATAGGTTTAGGCTACTACATTATACTCACATTTTCCCTATGTCCATCATGAGGTTGCTACAACCTAGCCTATGAATGAAAGTTTAGAAGGTAGGCGCACAGGTCGAGAGAAATGTGAGTATTTAAAAACTCTTAAATGTAAAGTCCCCATATTTGGGGACCCTATTTTTGTATTATGTTTTATTCAATTCAGTCTGGTTGGAGAACGGTAGCCCCTATCCGCAAAAGCAGGGTGTCTGCGGAAAGCTGAATATCTTGGCTATTGATCGGTGCCTTCAAATCTTTGGTGTGATTTACTACCATATATGGGCATACAAATTTATAAGGGCAGGCCGAGCCGATGACCTAATTTCGAGATGGCTGCTACCTACATTCCGGTTAGCGTTGTGAAGCATAAACAAAATTAACACGGAATACGTTGATACACACCGAAAGCCGGGACTCCACAGATAATGAGGACGTCTTATTTATCTGCCTGTGACCTACCGTTATTAGTCAAAATGTTTATTTTACACAACGTTTTCACCAAACAGCAAACATCTTAAAAGGTATGCTTTGATTTGGTCTGTGTTTGAGCTATAGCTACATGGGGGGTATCAAATTAATCATTCGGTTGGTAGCATCAAATCTAGCCTATTACCAATGTTATCTGATGATGTATGACTTAATGGCAACATCGAATGTCCACCGAGTGACTATTTCTTTGCGCATCAAAAATATGACGTTGCCTGCTTACGCGATGTAGCATCCATTACACAGGGGATTGGCTACTATGGTACCTTGACAGTCTTGTAGCCAATGAGATAAGCTTTCCAGGGATATGCAGTTGACCTGGGTGGGACAAAGCAAGGCCTAGAACCTTTTATGCATAATGTGAACTATTACTACCTGGCTCAGAGACTAGACGCACCGACCACGCTACATTACATTGTAAACAGATTTCATCGCTATAATTTAATCGCTTTAGCGTAAAAGATGGCTTCTCAAAAATAAAAGGGAAAAACGAAGAATATCGAACAGGAACATAAAAAGAAGGCAGCTATAAGTAAGTATACCGACATAGAAGCTATGTCTATGTTATATAATTCCAAAGTAGTTATTGTCTATATTTCATATTAGTTCACTGTTTGCTGTTCTAGGTTTCATCCTTTGGAGAGGCCACTAAACTCTAATGGCCATTGTTTATTTGTGGTTCTCACCTCTGCCTTTGTCTCCAAAGTGTTACTGTTTGCATTGTGTGTATGCTTCACACCTTCTATGTGAGTCACTATACAGATAAAGTTTAGGCTTGGTGTTTTTACTTTACAGTAATGTCGTTTTGTAAATTTAGTCAACTGTAATTCTGTATGTCTTACAACAATATATCCCTTTATTTTATTCACCACAGAATGTAGGATGCAGAGGATTTGGATGATGACGTTTGGGAGCCACCCCTCCCCAGCAAGCGCCCCCGCCGGTCAAGGTCTTCACCCCCCACTGCTATGTCAATCACTCCATCTGATGGTTCTACATCCACCACTCAACAAAGGCCCCACTCCTCTTCAACCACCCCCACTGCAGTTTCAATCACTCCATCTGATGGTTCTACATCCACTACTCCGCAAAGACCCCACTCCTCTTCAACCACCCCCACTGCCGGCCCTGGCACCACTCCCCTCTCTGCAAGTTCATCTGGAGGTGCAGGGGCAGGGAGGAGATGTAGGCCTGCAGAGGGAGAGGCAGTGGAAGCAGCACAACAGAGGGAGATGAAACTGAGGACAGGTGGCATACGGTCCTTGAAGATGATGAGGAGCCAGAATAATTTTGGTTTAAACCCAAATGACCTGAAGGCCCACAGTTGGTTAGTGATGAAACATACACCCCCTTACAGCTGTTTCAGCTCTACTTTACCACCTCTGTACTGGAAACACTAATTAGTAATACCAACAAGTATGGGGACAAGAAGCAGCAGGGGAGAAGGAAGATGTCCTGGAAACCTGTCACCATGGGTGACATGCTCAATTACATTTCCTTCGTGATTTACATGGAACTGGTAAAGGTATCAAGACTAGTTGACAACTGGAGCAAGTCCCTACTCTTATCGATTCTTGGCCATCAACCGTACTCTTCACATGAGTGACCCACAAAAGGATCAGGAGAATGTCCAGAAGAAGGGGACTGCAGGGTATGATCATCTTGCTAGAGTCAATTCCCTTTATCATGACATGGTGGAGGCATGCAAAACTTACTTCCAGCCTGCTCAAAGTCTATCTATAGATGAGTTCATGGTTGCCTCAAAGGCTTGAATTGGCTTGAAGCAACATATGAAAAATAAGCCGACCAAATGGGGCTACAAGCTCTTTCTGCTAGCCGATTTAGCCTCTGTCTACAAGTGGAACTTTTTCATCTATGAAGGCAAGGCGATCACACCCACTGGGAAGGGCCTTAGTTATGACTCTGTCATGCAGCTGATGGACTTCCCCTTACTTGGCAGTGGGTACAAGCTCTTTGTGGACAACTTTTCATAGACCTCTTGAAAAAGAAAATAGGGGCTTGTGGCACCATTCGTCCTAACAGAATCGGTTTTCCCAAGACCAAGGTAAACGACATGACAAAGACAGCAGAGAGGGGGACCATACGTTGGATCAGGACTAACAAGCTGCTTTTTGTGAAATGGAAGGACACTAGGGAAGTAACCATGCTCCCAACACAGCATAAGGCATTCAATAACGACCATGTCTCAAGGAGGGTGAAAAATGCCAATGGGGCATGGGTGAGGTAGAATGTCCCAATTCCTGTTTCTGTGAAGGACTACAATGCCAGCATGGGGGGGTGTCGACCTATCTGATGCTCTGATAGGCTACTACCAGGTCCTCCACAAGACCAGGAAGTGGTATGTCTTTTTTTTACCACTTAGTGGACATTGCTACAGTAAATGCTTTCATTCTCCACAAGCAGATGGCCAAAGCAAAAGGTCAAACCCCTCTCTCCCAGTTGGCCTTCCAAGAGCAGCTGGTGTTGGAAATGGCTGAACTGGGGGCCCAAAGCAACCTCACAACCATTTACAATGACGGCCTACACCGGCCAAACCCGGACGACGCTGGGACAATTGTGCGCCACCCTATGGGACTCCCAATCACGGCTGGTTGTGAAACAGCCTGGAATCGAACCAGGGGGTCTGTAGTGACGCCTCAAGCACTGAGATGCAGTGCCTTAGACCGCTGCGCCACTCGGGAGCCCAATAGTTCAGCTTATTTCTATTTTTGCACCTTTTTTAGTGGACACCTGTGTAACCAAGTTTGTGTTTGATAAGACATTTTATATATACTTTTATGTATATCTGTTGCTTTTTATATTGTTTTTGTAAACAGTTCATTTGTATGTGGGACCAATACATTGGACATGCCTAGGCTAAATGTTCAGGCACTTTGGAGAGGTTGAAGAAAACACTTGGACATCCCCTGTATGTCCCCCGACACCACCACAATGTTTGAGAGAATTTGGTGTTGTAGGAATTTAGTTTTTTATAGTGAACAATAACTTTTAGGCACATCCAGTGTGCAAAAACAGTGCAATTACCACATTCGGACACTTTGGAGAGGTTGAAAAGACACTTGAATGTACCCTGGATACCCCATAATACCACCACAATGTTTGAGTGAGGTTGATATGGTAGAAATTGTTTTTATACTGAACAAATAGCATTTAGGGATTGCAAATATGTAATAGCACTGGAATTATCTAATTTACAGACATATGCCACTTTGGAGAGGTTTAGGGACACTTGGAAATGTCCTGTGACCGCACCTGACAACACTTACTAAAACATCTGCCCATTTCTAGTTGTTAGGTCTATCAATCCCATTTTTTTCTGATATTGTTCACATATTGTGTAAGCCATCTGATGTGTTTCCAGCTCTGGGAATCAATAATTCACTAATAGCTTGTCAAAGAAAGATGTCTTTCAAAATGTATATATATATTTTAACTGTTATTTTGTGTGTGCTTGATCTTGTGTATTCTAAACTATGTAACTCCTATCTATCTTCTGATCATTTCCTCATAATCTCCCAGATGTATTCTTTCCAAATGTACCAAGTTTAAGCATGTCAGAATCATGTAATTACACGTTAATAGCAGTTACTTTTGGGTATGTCTATTTAGGCGGAAATCTAAATTTTGCCATTTACATTTAAGAGGTTAACAGAACAAAAACTAAACTAGTGTTTATTCGCAGTGCTGAGAGATAGTATTGTAACTAACGTTAGCTAATGTATCATCCCCTCTCGACTGAGGTGAATGAATAAGCTACGCTAGTGAGTAGCTACCACAGCCAGGTCAGCTCTAGCCTCTAGTTATCTGTCAGATAGCGAAATGAGGTGGCTATTATTACTATGTAACAGCAGTTGTTTGTATGGAAATGTTTTGTTGCCTTTGTTTTGTCACGTTTCA